AAATAAAAGTAGTTTTATAAAGAAAATTGAAAAGAAAAAAGATATTTATGAAAATCTCAAAATATCAAATACTAAAAGTTGAGAAGGAAAAGATCCCCGCGTATTGTGCGATATCCCCGATCGGTAATCCATAGAAGACCATAGCGATGTCGTCTTCTCATACGTCAAACATGTACTATCAAAGTATCTAGACCGACATCGGGTACTTCCGCTAGTATATAATATTTATAGAGTTTTATTAATAATATCTGACGCATAATGAGACCATACTACGCAAAAATAATCATTTTTTAACTCAATAAAACCAGATGTCCGCTGCTTGCTTTGTAGAAAAATGCCCACTGTGGAACGTCAAGTTGAGATGTAGTTGAGAGTTTCGAACAAAACCGCTACGGCTACACCTCTGAGCAGAATAATATCATTTCTAAATTAAAAGTGTTGACAAAGAACTCGAGCCGTGAGAAGAACAAGATAAAAAAAAAGCTTTTTCTGAAAAATAATTTTTAGTTTTTTCCAAGTTGACTCGGGCTGTGACTCAGTTATGATAAAAGTGCATAGTTGATTCAGCTATTCAAAACGAGCTGATTATCGACTAGCGAAAACTCGTTTAATTTCATTTCCGGTTTTCTTTTCTTTTTTTTTATCTCTGATTTCAAATAAAATCAGGAAAAACTTTCCGTTTCGCAATATAGTAAACACTAATATATTATATTCTCATTGTGTCAATATAATAAATGTGTCTAACATACAGACTTATTTAATAAAGACTCGTTATAGTATATTTCTTCATGAAATGGCTAAACGTAATTGGAAATGCAACTGTAAACTCTATTTTATCAAATATAAGAAGATTTTCGGTAAAGTTTTTGCTACAGTTCTTCTATTCGCTTCTTTAACTCTTGGTATCCTAATGATTTTCAATAAATTATGGTATAAATTTAATTATTATAATATTCTTTTTATTACAAATAATAATTTTATCTATTTGAATAATATCTATAAAATATTTACATTATCATCAAATTTGATTCTTCTCTATTTTGTATATCATCATCATCATCATCATCATGAGTCTTTAATACGAAGAGTTTTTAATTGGAAAACTTTTATTCGATTACGAATTTTAATATTTTTTCTTATTTACAATTTGGTTTATGCAATATGGATTGTAAAATGGTCAAATATTTTTGATCAAGTATCGTCAATGATGTGGGATAATATATTTTGTATTCAAATGATTCTTATTCGACATAATCTCATTTATTGGATTCCAAAATATAACGAAGATGGTCATAAATGGATTAAATATTATATGACAGCTAATTTTATTTTAATTATTCTTGTATGTAGTTATAATTTTCTTGTTAGTTTTATTTCAAAACCAATATTATTCATTAGTAATATATTTGCTGTTAGAATATTATTTGATGTCTATGTCTATATTAATAATTATTTTATGATGAACTATGTTGTTGATTTTCTACGAAAAATTCAAAATCCCAAATTATCAGTAAATTTTTCTTATCACTCATTGGAACAGCCTTCTACAAACAAAATAACTGATATAAACAACTTACAGCCAAAAGTAGAATTAAAAAATCCGTCAGATTTGCTAAATGGATGTGGAATTGTTATAGATGTCATACAATTAGATACGTTCTGGTCTTAATTTGTTTGTCATTATTTATTATTTAAAAATAAAAGACGCATTATCAGTCACAAAAAATTCTTTAACTTACTAGAAAGATGCTGTAAAAAGAACGGACAGATTTAATAAAAGTTAATGGAATAATCAAATCCGAGTAAACCGCTCGAATGCTGCTTGGAGTGCTTCTAACTACAGTGTCTGTAAGAAATATTCGGATACTGTAAGAAACTTCTCTAATTATCTTTTTATTGTTACATAGAGTGAAGTCCGTTCTACATTTCGGCCCATTTGAAAAAATTTTGACGCTCTTAGTTGAGCCCATTTTTTGTAGGTCTTTTTGACCTCCTTGGAAACAGACTTGGATCTTCATTGTGGTCGGTGTCTTCCTATATTAGTATCTTCAAAACAATTAAGCAGTGGATGTGCTATAGATAGGGATGAATTAGAAAGATCGCCAAAATCTCTGCTAATATTAGCTGGTTGAAGAAATACACAAGCAGCAATTTTATTTCATTTTCTTCTTTTATTCTAAATTTCTCGACTAATTTTTGTTCAATCAGTTTTCGTAGAGCCGTTCTTCAACACTTAAGTGAGAAAATATTTGTTTTTTCTATGGGCAGATAGCTCAAAGTATTCCCTTCAATAAGGAAAATATTTGTTAATAAGCGATCAAAACGCAAACTTCAATCTGACTGTTCTGTTAGTTATCTTTTATTTCAGTTTGCTGATCGTACGTTTTCTCATATTTGCATTCTAGTTCAATTACTACTGCTTTTATTCAGTTTAATTTTATCGTTTTTGCTAATAAAAACAATAGCGGAAGAATTTTATCGAGTGTTTTCCTGCTGCTTTTGATTCGGGCCAAAAGTTTAGGCTGAAAATGTTCACTACATTCTTATCAATCGAAGGATCGTCGATTCCCAAATGAGCACACTCTGTGTCATCACGCTACTTTGAGTGTAAACTATTCCCGTTTGCTGCGAGTAGAGCCCCATCCTCCGATGCTTTAATCTTGATGAGAAAGCAGATAGATCAAAATCGTTAAAAATCGCTTCATTTGAATAATGTATGAAAAAGCTTTTCTTTCTTCCTTTTTTACAAATTTAAAAATAATTTTTTCTGATTCAGCATAAAAAATAATGTATAAAACCCATGTTTGAACGGTCATAGAGTCAAAAGTAGATTGAGTCTAATTGAACGGGGTGGCCCCTTTGAAATGATCCTGGGATATCTTGTATATTTTCAAGCAGGTAAAATGGATAGTATTTTTATCTGGAAACACTCTTTATAACTATACTTTTAAATGTCTGTCTTTCTAACTGAGCTCCTCAATTGTAAAAAATATGTTTTTATTAACTTAATTGTTATTTCGAAAGGCTTTCTGGAGAATGTTTTGAACAAAAATAATCGCTTTACAGAACAAAACTAATCATATTCTGAAGTTTTCAACTCGTTATGTCTTTTGAGCGAGTTGTGAATTTCTTAATACTAGGTGAAAACAGCTTGGAAACCCAATTTTTCATAAATCTCGATTTTCATCAGGTTTTTGGTTTGTTTTCAATAACAAACATTGCCACCAGATTCAGCGTAGCTGATTACATATATTTTATGCGACATGGGGCAACACATTAAAGCAGAAAGAAATGGTTATGTTGCTAAAGCACTATATCTCTCATAGTATTGAATACATGAGTAAATATTGTTATCTAAATCCTATATACGTAAAGAAGAATATGAAGAAAATTCATAAACTTTTCTTAAGAAGTATGTAGCGAAAAAAAGGTGCCTTTGCAGATGGCAAACGTTTTTGCGATCAATTGAACACAAATTTTGGACACATTTCACGCCGTCTGCGAGATATATTGGATGTGCCCAGTACATATCAAGTATATTTTAGCTTATTTCTGAAGCAAAAGTATATGTATTGTTCAATTTTTCGTTAGATTAACCCCCAAGGCAATTACACACCTCAAGCCCTGTATACAGTTTCTATAAAGAACCTGCATAAGCTGCTTGTAGTCAAGCCACGTAGTTGTCGAAGATATTTTTCTTGCGACAGGATTGAATTATTAAGGTTCGAATCTCACTGAATTATATCAAAAAAATTTTCAACTTTCGAAGTAAGGTTTTGAGTTTATTATTATATACATGTGCTATCGCAAAACAAAAAGATGAATGAACATACAGTAGGACACATTCAATGTGTCCTGTGAGAGGGCACACTAAAATGTGCTATGTAACAGAGCACAATAAATGGGTCTTCTGCAGAGGCACTATTGGATGTGTCCTGCTATAAGGTAATTGTTAATACGACACATGTCAGAGCATACATCATGCGGCGTCACGCACGATATTTAGAGAAGTGTCCTCGTGCGCTGCCCATTCCCGTCACTGCATTTCAAATGTGTCCTCTGACACGGCACAATCTGAACACAGCACATTTACATACACGGTATTTCATAGACGTGCAATAACATTAAGGGTACCCCCCGCCCCCTCTTTTTTGCAGAGAAATTGTCATTTTGAGCTGAACATAGTCTAATGTAGAGGAAAGTATGGGCTATACAATGAAACGACTCCCAGCTCTCCATGACCTTTCTTGAAAAAATTATGAAGTCTTTAAGTTTTACGTTGAAAGCCTAGAAAATCTCAACTTTTTTGATTCGTAAATTTTTGTCTCCTTTCCTATATATTCAAAACTTTTTCTTATATACAGCATGATAGAAGAAAATGTGCTCTTCGAAATGAGATGTATTCCAGAATTTTTCGATGAGTTTTCTTAGAGATATAGCCGCAAATGCCCTGAAAAATAGACAGCCCTGTGTACAGTATGTGTTCTTCTCACTATACGTTTTTTCAATAGTCCCTTCAATTGGCATACATTATGACTCCTCGAAAAAATCGTCCGATCGAGCTCAAAATTTTACCAAAATGAAAAACTGGTTTTTTATATGGGATTTTCAGTATTTTTCGTATATCTCGAGAAGGAAAGCATTTTTTTCGAAAAGAAAAAAAACTAACCTGAGATAGGGTCTGAGGTATCTGTGGTAAAATTTTGAGCTCGATCGGATCATTTTTTCTAAATAAAATACTACAAACTATAAACTAAATATGTGCCAATGAAAACTGAAGTTTTCCAGAAAAACCATAGAACATAGAAGAACACGTCAGAAAATTCTGGGTAAAAATAGATCGATTTTCTTTTTCGATGTTCTATCTCTGGTATGAATTAGAACCCGATCCGACGTCGGCTTCTTTAGTTTCCAAGAGGGTAAAAAAAGACGGGGAATGCATACTTAAATGCATACCATTTACAGTTATTAATTCAGAACCAGCTTGTTCACGAAGTTCATAAACATCTACGCCTATTTCTCGCCTCAAATCTGTCGTGGGATTCTCATGTTAACAAAAATTTGTTTTGGGAAAACTCGTTTTTTAACGCTAACTTTTCCGGGTTATTATAACTCGGAAAGCATTTTTGAAAAGTTTTTATTTTTCCGCCTGTTTGTTGCCCCACATCTTGTCTATCGAATGACGAAAACCGCAGGTCTGTAGCATTTTCCGTTAAAAAGATATTTGCGTCGCACTAAAGTCCACCGTTCATTGAAGTAGTGGAAAAGTTGCGATACTTATATACGGCTTGATCATGCAAAACAAAACGGTGATTAGAAAGTCAACGCTTTAACGCGTTCGTATGCGTGACCTTTTCTATGAGTTATCGTTTTACCAGTTTGCACAGGTTAGTGGCTAATCTAACCCGTTAAAACAGGGTAAAATACATGTTCGTTAGAAATAGAGGCGGTTTTTACACTTTACAACGTGTTAACGGTTGGTGATAAATCCGTCCGTTCTAACGGCTAAAGTTGAAATATCGAACACGTTACAATGAGTAATTGTTTAGTCCGATAATACGCGTAATAACAGTACGCTATCTGTCCAAAGGATGTTTGTCTGTGCTACGTCCCTTTTTTAATTGGTCCATATGCTTCTCTGATAACAGGAGAGAAAATGATCTGTCTGACGCATACTCACTCTTTTTATCTTACAACTGGTGTGTAGACCAGATATAGGATGACTCATTCCATCGTTCACAGATAGAGTATTCACTAATGCGGTATAACCAATTTCTTTACCGATTCATTTTCAGAAAAAATAATTATTGGGTGTAGTAGCATACAGTCACATACTTAATTGCAAGTTAAATAAGTACCTTAAGGGATGATTATTTAAATTAAACTTTAAATTTTAGCCTTTATATCTCGAAAAATCGTTGATTGTTTAGTTGTTTAAGTTCTTCTTAAGCATAAGAAGGGAAAACTCAAGCAAGTAAAACTATCATATTATTTCAATGAAAGATCAAAGAAACACGTTCTTTTCGTTTTCCAAATATGATAGAGAGTACATCGTACTTTTTTGGTTGGTTGCAGTGTTTTTAGTTGTTTTGAAAAATGTTGTTTATCATCTCATGTGTTTTTAAAAAATGTTCATTCTGACAACAGAAACTTAATGGTGATGAAACGCGCTCACTATATGGAAACCTTCGCTCGTGTCTTCTGCAGTATAACTTCTCGGAAAGAGTAATTTTTTGTCATAGAAAAGTAAACACGTCCAAACTAAATCTGATAGTTCAACGCGTAATCGGGTTTGAATGCATCAATTATTAAGAGGAATTTGAACTCATTCGATACTCACACTGGTTCAAACCCATTAAAAGTAACTTATTCGTATTAAACTCATGTATGCGCATCGATAAGATCTTAACGCATTAGAACCTGTTATACTTAAACGCGTGAAAACCCGTTTTATCCTTCACAATCATATTTAACGAGTTCGCATTCATCGCCACTCGGAAGAAGCGTCAGCTCGCGTGATTTCTGAAAATTAAACCCGTTTAAATGTAATTTTTCTGAAAAAGACATTTTTAACGCGTGCTAACCTGCGTTAGGGTATCAAAATTATTTCATGGGTAGAATGCAGCAGTACTCCAAAGTTGGACGTATGCAGGTTTTACAAAGATGAAGACGAAGAGAATTAGGAGAATCGCGGAACACACGGGAAATAGAACCAAGCATTTTTCGACAATTTGAGGCTACACTATCGATATGACATTTCCACGATAGATCATGTGTCGATCTAACGCCAAGAAGTTTAAGAAAAGAAGCACGCTGAATTATATGATCATTCATCTTTAAAGACATTGTTGGACATACGTTAGATACAGTAGAAAACAACATCCATTCACATTTTGAAACGTTTAAAGTGACAAAATTCTTTTCACACCAAGCCAGAACCTCGTCTATGCACGCTTGTGCCTTGTCTGGATCGGCTAGACAAAGATCATCTGCAAAGAGCGAGGATAGAGAACAGAAAACTAGACTTTGAGGTAAGTCATTGATAAAGATTAAAAATAGAATGGGGCCAAGAATACTCCCTTGAGGCACTCCAGAAACAACCGGGATTGAAGTAGAATGAGCAGATCCCACTCTTACTATCTGGGCACACTCAGACAGACATGACTTGAACCAGTCAAGTAGAGGACCAGAAATACCGGCCAAAGACAGTTTTCTCCGTAGAATTTCGTGTGGTACACGGTCGAATGCTTTTTCGAAGTCAAAAGAAATGCCAAATACTTTTTGACGATTATTTAAACATTTATAGATTGTATCTGTGACGAAAAGTAGCGCATCTTCCGTCGATGCATTTGCACGAAACCCAAATTGATTAGGAGGAAAGAAGTTTATCAATGTTAAAAAAGAGAAAAGTTGTTTGTGTACAATTTTTTCGAAAACTGTACATACGTTAGAAATAAGCGAAATGGGCCGATAATTTTTAAAAAAAATCTACTTTCCTTTGTATGAATAGCTCGAATTATTGCCAGTTTCCAAAGATGAGGAAAAACCTCTAGCTTTAAGGAAATAGAAAAAATATCATGTAATTGTGGTGCAAGAATGTCAGCACAAAGTTTTAGAAATCTAACACTTATTTGATCTTCACCTACAGTTGACAGTGTCTCAAATAATTGGTCCACTTTTTTGTCGATGTTGGTATAAACTTTATTTATTTAGAAGAAATGTTGAAAAAATCAGTAGAAATTATGAGAAGAAGGAGGCGAACCCATTACATCTTGACAGAAATTGATTGAGGACAGAGGACAGCACTAGAATACATGTATAAAAACAATACACGGCCACAACATTTAAGAGAGAAAGTAACGACAGCAACAACAATAATAATAAGGAAAAAAGAAACAGAGAATAACTAATGAAAGAAGAGGACAGAAGGATATCGGGAAATTAGAATCTTCTTGTGTGTCGCGAATAAATGTAATTACGATATTATATAGTTTTCAATTTTCATTACACTTCACTCCGCTACAATATATCAATCCTCGAATACACCATCTCGATATGATTTCACAACAATATGTTGCACTTTGTGAAGATATTGATAACGGAACAAAGTACTTCTCAAACGATGAACATACAACTACTAGCCTTGCATACAGAAGGGGATGGAATTGCCTCTACAATTGCATTACATTACTTGGTGGAATGCCAGAATATTTTACGTTCGAACTTCGATTACGTAACATCATTGAATTAGTAATCAATGTTGATCATTATCTCAAGCTTTATGAAATATCTGATACAAATTTAAAAACATATGGTACACAAACAATGGTGTTTGATAGAAAATGGGCTGAAGGGTGGGATTTGTTTGGATTATGTTCTATTCTTAATTGTAACATTCGTTCAGTTTATCCAAATGTCGATGGTGTAAGTAAAGATGACAATCCATCAAAAAGATTATTAAATGTAACATTTCAACCTCGTGAAACCATCGCAACAAATACAATATTAATTATGTGGTCAAAAGGAGTATTGCCAGAAGACTGATTGTTATACAGTGATCAAGAATATTGGTCTCCAAATCATTATGTTCCACTACTAAAACCTCGTGTATGTAGCCTGTTATACAATTCAGTTATACTGTTTATAACAAAATTCTATCGAATTTAGCCTATAAATACATCATCGATGATCTCTTACATAAAAAAGGTACGTCTTTCATCGTCTCATCTAAACATTATAATAAAATATCATTTGCTTCATAACGTTATAACTGTGTAATTCACATTCTTATTAGCACATGAAACTTGACGATAATAAAAAGACGAAACAACAAGTAGAAGATCAAACACAAGACGATATAGGGTGGGCCAGAAGTTCTGACTCGATTTGAATAATAAATTTTTCTATAGTGAAACAAGTGGTTGTAAATTTGTCTCTATGAAGAAAAGATGTAGTAAAAAATTCTCTACAAAATCGTACCTAAACTTTTAATTTCAGAACTTCAATCAAGAAAACTAAGCAAATTATACACGAGGCGAAAAAAATGAAAACTTTGTAAATTTGGTTTTCTTTACTTGAACTTTTTCTTCTCCTATTATTTCCGTAAAAAAAGCGGAGCAAAAGCAAGAATTCAGTTTGTGTTGGGTA